GCATCGTACAATCTCCAGGAGGGAGCCCAACTGTGGTACATGCAGGTCCAAGAGGACGAGGGCACGCCAACATGGCCGCGCTTCACGGAGCTCCTCAACCTACGCTATGGGCCCTCGCTCCGTGCGGCGCCCCTCTTCGAGCTATCGGCCTGCCGCCGCACGGGGACGGTGACCGACTACCAGGACCGCTTTTAGGCACTGCTTCCCCGCACCGGTCGCCTTGACGAGGCACAGAGGGTTCAGCTCTTCACAGGGGGCTCTTGTCGCCGCTCAGCCTCCAGGTCCAGATGCAAAACCCGCAAACCCTTGCGGCCACCATGAGCCTTGCCCGGCAGTTCGAGCTCATGGAACAGTACACCGCCGCTCCGGCCAAGGGCCCTGTGCGCGGCGTCCTGGGAGCACCGGGATCGCGTCCGGCCCTCCCGGCGCCCACGACCGCCACCGATAAGGCTCAGGTGCCCGTGAACCAGGGAGATGGCCGGCCGGCGAAGCGCCTCTCCAAGGAGGAGCAGGAGGAGCGCCGTCGCTTGGGCCTATGCTACAACTGCAACGAAAAGTACACCAGGGGGCACAATCGCGTCTGCCGGCGCATCTTCCACATCGGCGGCGTCGAGATCTCTGACACCTATGAAGCAGCCGCGACCGACGAGCAGGAGACGGAGTCGCCGATCTTCTCCCTGCACGTAGTGGCAGGAGTGCCGTTCGGCGGGACGTTACAGATCGTCGTCTCGCTGGGCGGTACCACGCTCGTCGCCCTCCTCGACAGTGGGTCTACCCACAACTTCATCGCCGCCAGCTCCGCGCCGCGCACCGGGCTGAAGGTCCAGCCCAGGCCTCGACTCACGACGATCGTGGCCAATGGCGAGTGGATCACATGCCCCGGCGTCATCCGGGACGCACCAGTCTCCATCGACGGCACTGACTTCAACATCGACCTCTCTGTCATGCCCCTTGCAGGATACGATCTGGTGCTGGGCACCCAATGGATGGCCACCCTCGGACCGATTGTCTGGGACTTCGCCAAGCACACCATGTCGTTCTGGCTACGGGGGCGTGACTTCTGCTGGACCGGGGTGCCGCCTTCTAGCGCGCCAGGGCTCCACTCCGCGACGGCCAGCACGTCCCTCCTCGACAAGCTGTTGGCCATCTTTGAGGACGTCTTTGCCGAGCCCATGGGACTGCCTCCACCCCGCGCCCGTGACCACGGCATCATTCTCAAGCCGGACGCTCCTCCTGTGGCCGTCCATCCTTACCGCTACCCGGCGGCCCACAAGGACGAGCTGGAGCGGCAATGCGCCGCCATGATCAACCAGGGCATCGTCCGACGCAGCGACTCGGCGTTCTCCTCACCGGTCCTCCTCGTCAAGAAGACTGATGGCTCATGGCGTTTCTGCGTCGACTACCGCGCCCTGAATGCCCTCACCATCAAGGACGCGTTCCCCATCCCCGTCGTCAACGAGCTCCTGGACGAGCTCCATGGCGCGCGCTTCTTCACCAAGCTTGACCTTCCGTCGGGGTATCACCAGGTGCGGATGCGGCCAGAGGACATCCACAAAACGGCGTTCCGCACCCACGACGGCCTCTATGAGTTCTTGGTCATGCCGTTCGGGTTGTGCAACGCCCCAGCGACTTTCCAAGCGCTCATGAACGACGTGCTCTGCGCTCACCTCCGCCGGTTTGTCCTTGTTTTCTTCGACGATATTTTGATTTACAGCAAGAGCTGGGCGGACCATCTCCGACACCTTCGCGTCGTCCTCACCATTCTGCGCCAACACCGCCTCTTTGTGAAGAGGTCCAAGTGCTCGTTCGGCGTCGACTCCGTCAGCTACCTCGGCCACATCATCTCCGCATCCGGCGTGGGGATGGATCCCGCCAAGGTCCAGGCCATCCATGAGTGGCCGCGGCCCCGCTCTGCGCGCGCGGTGCGCGGCTTCCTCGGGCTGGCAGGCTACTACAGGAAATTCGTCCACAACTATGGCGCCATTGCCGCACCCCTCACCGCGCTCCTGAAGAAGGAGGGGTTCACATGGAACGACGATGCCGCAGCGGCCTTCACAGCCCTCAAAGGGGCGGTGACGTCAGCCCCTGTGCTGGCCCTGCCGGACTTCTCCAGGCCCTTCATCGTGGAGTGTGACGCGTCTACTTACGGCTTCGGAGCGGTGCTCATCCAGGAGGCGCACCCGATTGCATTCTTCAGCCGACCGATGGCGCCTCGCCATCGTTCCCTTGTGGCCTATGAGCGGGAACTGATCGGCCTCGTCCTCGCCATCCGCCATTGGCGACCGTACCTATGGGGGCGCCGCTTCATCGTCAAGATGGACCACTACAGTCTCAAGTACCTCCTCGACCAGCGCCTCACGACTATTCCCCAGCATCACTGGGTCGGCAAGCTGCTGGGCTTTGATTTCACCGTTGAGTACAAGTCCGGCACGACGAACACGGTGGCCAACGCCCTCTCATGCCGCGACACCGAGGAGGACTCTACGGGCGCATTCATGGCAGTCTTAGGCCCCCGCTTCGACTTCATCAGCCGCCTCCACCACGCTCAGGCCACGGATCCGGCCTTGGTGGCTGTCCACGACGAGATCAGCGTGGGCACGCGTGCCGCACCGTGGGCGATCTCCGACGGCATGGTCACCTACAACGGGTGGCTCTACATACCGCCGGCCTCGCCACTGCTGCAGGAGATCGTGGTGGCCATCCACGACGACGGACATGAGGGTGTCCAGCGCACGCTGCATCGACTACGCCGCGATTTTCATTTTCCCAACATGCGTCGCTGTGTGTAGGACTTTGTTCGGGAGTGCGTCACTTGCCAGAGGTACAAGTCAGAGCACCTCCACCCCGCCGGGCTCCTCCTGCCGCTGCCCATCCCTACCATCGTCTGGGTCAACATCGGCCTTGATTTCGTGGAGGCCTTACCGCGAGTGAACGGGAAGTCCGTGATCCTCTCCGTCGTCGACCGCTTCAGCAAATACTGCCATTTCATCCCCTTGGCGCACCCGTACACCGCCGAGACCGTGGCCCAGGCGTTCTTCACCGACATTGTGCGCCTCCACGGCATGCCGCAGTCCGTGGTCTCGGACCGTGACCCAGTGTTCACCTCGCTGTTTTGGCGCGAGCTCATGAGGCTGATGGGCACCAAGCTGCACATGACGTCCGCCTTCCACCCTCAGTCTGACGGCCAGACGGAGGCGGCCAACCGTGTCATCGTCATGTACCTGTGTTGCTTCACGGGAGACCGACCCCGGCAGTGGTTGTGGTGGCTTCCCTGGGCTGAGTACGTGTTTAACACGGCCTACCAGTCCTCGCTCTGGGAGACCCCGTTCCGCGTGGTGTACGGCCGCGACCCACCCACCATCCGCTCTTACGAGACGGGAGACACTCGGGTTACTGCCGTGGCTCGCGACATGGAGGAACGCGAAGCCTTTCTCGCCGACGTCCGCTATCGCCTGGAACAGGCGCAGATTGTTCAGAAGCACCACTACGATCGGCATCATCGACAAGTGTCTTATCAGGTGGGCGATTGGGCGTTGCTGCGCCTCCGACAACGCACCATGTCCTCCCTACCCCAGGCTACTATGGGCAAGCTGAAGCCGCGCTACATCAGGCCCTACCGCGTCGCCGAGCTCATCAACGACGTGGCTGTACGTTTGGACCTTCCGCCGTAGGCTCGCATCCATGACGTGTTCCATGTGAGCGCCCTCAAGAAGTTCAGCGGCGTGCCTCCGTCGACTCCACCTGCACTGCCATACATCCACCATGGCGTGGTAACTCCAGAGCCGGCTCGGGTTGAGCGGGCTCGCTTGGCGCGCGGCATTCGCCAGCTGCTCGTCCACTGGCGCGGCGAACCGCCGGAGTCGGCCACCTGGGAAGACCTCGACACGTTCCGCGAGCAATTTCCAAGCTTCCAGCTCGAGGACGAGCTGCTTCTCGAGGAGGGGAGAGATGTCATGTGGGGCCGGACATTCGCAAGGCAGCGCAGGGCGCGAGACATCCACAGGGCAGCAGAGCGGGCTGCAGCGCGCGACGCGGCAAGGGCCGCGATCACCTCGGACGAGGATGGCAGGGCCGGGCCCAGTGGCTAGGAGAAAATTAGGCCTTAAAATTAGGATCGTTTGTTTCCCAGTTTGTTAGCCGGTTGGCTCATATATTCCCTGGACTCAAAACAATGAAGGCAAGCAATCAGTTATCATCTAATCTCCTACCTCTACTCTCGTTAAGCCACCAGCAGAGGGGTATAACCTCGCGGTGAGGACTGGAGCGCGACTACGAACTACGTAGTCACGGGCCGCCGTCGTTGAGTGCCAAGTGCTTGACAGAAATCAATACCAGCCAATTTCTCATGAAACAGGAATCCAATTTCACATGACTGACAATTTCACCTGGCTCAGAACACATCTAGCCTCCATATCACAAGTTAAACTGAACATTCAGAAGACTCAACACATCCAGATTTCTTATCTAGTTAACTCAACATTCAGAAATAATGCAGAACACCTAGGAGCTTATCCAGAACCCATCTAGAACGTTCAAAACAGATTTCAATTTAGCCAGAACACATCTCGAGTCTACAGTATACAGAAAACATCATATATGACCAATTCCAGTGACATTCATACTCCATATCACAACCAGTTCACAGTTATGACCTAACAAATTAAAACACATCACGGTTATCACATAGTATGACCATGAATCACAAGTTATCCCAGCATCCACACAATTAAAACAGCATCCACGGTATCACATTTATTATACAAGATTGAGCCCTGTTCGGCTGGCAGAATTTTGACTGAAACTGGCTGAAAAACACTGTTCTGGCTGAATTGTTGTGAGAGAAAAACACTGTTCCGGCTGAAACAAGAAGCCGAACAAGCCGAATATGGGATAAGCCGAACAGGACCCACTCCACAGAAATGATGATTATTACTTGAGCTTCAAATACTTGTAGTTGTGCTTCTCTTGGAAAAGTGTATGTGCTGATAGGATCATCACCTTCAGTTGTAATTCTTGGCAAGGAAGCGCTTCAGCCACAGCTGCCTATCACTCTCAGTCATGGCCAGAAAAACCAGAGCTGCCGCTTTCCTTTCCATGAAGTGGTCCAGGGCACACATCAGTTCGTATCTGCTGAATCCAGGGACATCCATGACAACCCTGTTGATCCCCTTACACCCTTCAGCCACAGAATTGCTGAGTCCCGTGATAGCATCTGCGAGACCGCCGCCGCTTGATCCTCCTTCTTCATTGTTCCTCATCCTCTTTGGTGTCCTCTTTGGTGTCACCTGATCTTCCTTCTCTTTGTCAAATCCAGGCCTCTCCATTTGCTCTTCACCTCTCTCATAGGCTTTGACATCCACTAGAGCATTTGCTTGTCCTGGCCTTCCCAACGCTTCAGCTGACCCCATTCCATACCTACCTGTAGCGACGCCACTTCCAAAGATCACTTGCATCTGATAGTAGTTAACTATGGGCCTGTTCAGGAACTCTACATCCTTAGGGTGGGCCTATGCAGCAAGAGACAAAAACACAAGGAACAAAGCATTAGAACAGCAGCAATTATGAACTTGCAAGAGACAAAAAAAATAAGACCAGCAAGATATAACAGCTAGCAAACCTTGACGAGTCCTTCGTATTGATCGGCATGGACTGTTATCATGTAGTTCTCTTCATCCCAACCAGCACCACTCATTTGCTTGAGCTTGCACACCTTCACCCATCTTGCCCGCCAATACCTCAGGTGATTGTACACTTGCTGTCCTGAGCACAGCCTCCCGCTGAAGGTGGTCACCATCCTTGCAACAACATTCAGGTGGACGTCCTTGAACCCCTTGTCAATCTTCTATCCCTGTGCAACAATTTCTACAAACCGACGAACCATGAAACCAGAGCATGCATCATTCCAGTGAAACCTGGCAACGGCCACTTGGTCACCAATGGAGACAATGTTGACAGGATGGTTCTGGTACACCTCCTCGGGATTGTACACCTCTACATTGGCTGATTAGCAATGAATGACAGGGAATATAAGATTTACAACTACAAGCAAGCCACTTATGACCTTCCAGCAAACATTAAATAAAAACAGGACCAAGATAGTAAACAATCTGAAAACGGTTAACTACTATATCTTTGAAGGGACTTGTCACCAATCTGAAAATTACACAGTTCGAGTTTGTGCACTAAAGAATTAAACCAAGAAATTATTACTAAATGAAGGTAACACCAGTGCTTGTTGCTTACAGAGGTATGACTTTCAAAGAATCTTATTAAAACTTCGGCTATCCATGAATGCAGCACTGGTATATGTTTCACTGAAAGAGAAATGAATAAAATCCAGGTAAAACCAATGAATAGGAACAGATTCAAAAATCCAGGCTAAAATACTCTTCCCTGTGTAGACCAATGAGAAGCTCTGCATTAATGATCAGCTAGCAATATAATAACAGTTCGTTATCTGTGGTGAACTTAGATGATATGTAGATAAATTCATCATTGCTATCACAATTGGCCTCATCATTGGTAACATGAAAAGTCATTTCAGATAATCCATTGCAGGTGTAAAATAGAAGGAGAATAAGTAAATAATTCATCATTGCTTTCACAATTGGCCTCATCATTGGTAACATGAAAATTATTGAGATAATCCATTGCAGGTGTAGAATAGAAAGGAGAGAACAAAATCAAAAATCAGACCAGAACAGAGAGAATAATAAATAAATAATTCATCATTGCTTTCACAAGTGGCCTCATCATTGCTTAACAACTGATATAAGGTCCAATTAAGATCCAAATTATTACAATGCTAGGTCCACATCATTGCTTAATAGCTAGGTCCACTGATAGAAGGTCTAATTTATTACAATACAGCAAGAGGCAGAAAAACAAGGAACAAAGCATTAGAATGGCACATGCAACATGACGCTCAATCTGCCCTATCCCTACCAGCACCCCTATTTGCCCACATTTGGTTAGCCCACATGTCTCTCATTGCAGCCCATTCACCGTTGTCCATGTGCACATCATTAGGTATCAATTCATTGCCTGGGTTGGCATTCTAGGTTTCTTCAGGAGGAACAAAGGAATCTGTCCCATGCCTAATGATCCAATTATGTAGAATGCAACAAGCTAGGACAAACTTCACTTGGGTAGGAAATGGATGGAATGGCTTGTTATACAAAATCTTGAACCTATTCTTCAATGCAGCAAATGCCCTCTCAACTGTCACCCTTAGAGCGGAACGCCTAAAGTTGAAAAGCTCTCTAGCATTGCCTGGCCTCCTAGTTCCATACTCCCTGAGATGGTACCTTGTTCCTTTGTAGGGGGGTAAGAAACCAGGCCTGACAGCATACCCAGCATCCACTAAAAAGATTTCCCTACCAATTGGAAACAGAACATGCATCATTTAGGGTCATACAAGATTTGTTAGACATGCATGAAGGCTATTGGCTGATCAAAGGTACCTTCTGGAACTTTTAATCCATCTTCTCGCTGAAGGGCATCCGCAAGGATTAAGGCATCATGAGCAGAGCCTTCCCACCCAGCAAGGACATAGGTGAATCTGAGGTCAAAGTCTACTGCTGCTAAAACATTTTGGGTTGTGCTTAGCTTCCTACCCATGAAAGCAGGTATCTAGTCATTGAGCACCCTAGCTAGGACATGAGTACCATCAATTGCCCCTATCCAGTCCTACAATCATTAGCATCGAATTGTCATATGCATTCTTAACAAAAAGCATACTAGGAAGTACTAATGAACCCTCACACACCTTGAAGTATGGATTCCATTTGTGGCTATGGAGGATTCTTGTTACTTTGGGAATTGACTGCACGCAGAATCAAGGTTAGTAGATGATCGACATGTTTTGAGGCATCGCCTAATGTTTGTTGGCGCTAAATCATGTAACTTCAATTTGTGTGGCTTGTTTCTTGATGTCATACAGTGATGCAGTGAGTTTTTTTTCCTCTCCCTGCACTTCACAAAATATCATCCTTTTAGGTATAGAATAGCTAGTCCTTTTAGAGATATTGCGAGGTAGATAAAGATGAGCACCATATGTTTGCATGCCACTACGTCTAGCTAATTGAACTAATCTTGATGTCATTTTTTTAGTCATTTTGTTTCCTTCTAATTATTTATCGTTGAACAAGTTGTATGGTGTACAATATTGCCATGGCTTTGTGGTGTGTTTGGGTGGGGTTGCTGACTTGTTGTTGGTGGTGGTGTGTACGTGTGGGTTGGTGGGGGCATGGGGCCACTGTTGTTATTATATTGAGCTAATTTATCTTAATATGCAAGCTCTCATGTATATAGTCATACACTAAGGGCATATTTGATACACATGGTTAGTTACTGTTTAAGACTAGAAATTAGCCCAATTTAGCTATGAATGGCTAACAAGCTAAAAATTTAGCCCACTTATTAGATGTAGCAGAACCGACCAATTTATAAGAGCACAAGTGCAATGGCAGCCCGCAAGCGATCGCACTGTCATACTTGAGCCCATATAAACCCGATAGTCCGTCGAGTACCACGACGGGTCTCGATTAACCATCAACATACAACCAAGATCGTACATGATTCAACATACATGTCACACATTACATAAAATTCACAAATACCGTTCATCCATCAGAGTACGAATTAAGGTTATTACAAACCAAGTTCAGTAAATAGTAGCGGAAGCAAATTAAGGTTTGAAGCTAACATATGTCATCATAGTTTAAATACAGTGACTGCTCATGATCACACTCCCATGAAAGCATATAAGAAGGATTAATAAGAGATGCCTGCCCAGGGCTCACTCCTCATCCACGGCGGGACAGAAGCAGTTCTTGCAATAGCCGTGATAAACTGTACCATCTGCAATAATGAGAATAAAACCCTGAGTACGAGAAGGTGCTCAACAAGACTTACCCGTCATAAACCAAAATAAAATGACTCCAAGGATTATGTAAAGCTTTATAAGTGAAGGTAGCTTGACAATATTTTGCATAAAAAACGACTAATTCAGGGGTACAAATATAAATCATCAAATTAATTATAGCTATTCATCTCTAGATTAGCCACTAACCTGTGCCAAACATGTAGTATATCATTTAGTAGCATACAATAGTAACCATAGCCGGTATAGTAACTCCATGTTCACCCGAACCATCATATTCCATATTACAGTTACTACGATATTGGTACTAGCCAAGTTTCTCACTGTTCGGGAGAGACGACGATTCGAATCGATTTTAACCAGCTAGGAATTTATTCCTAACACAAACCCAGGTCTACCAGCCACGGTAGCCTTAGGTAACCTTTGGTACAACTCAGGTACACATTTCGCGGGTTTGACCAGCGCCGCACAATCAGGGACGACCAGCTACCAGGACGATCAGGACTACCCTGCCTTTGGGCTCACGTCTGGCTCCCCGCACATCCTTACTACCATCCAAAGTGCGCATTTTTACAGAACGGGGCCTAGCCTGAGTTGAGCTACTTGGCTTCGCGGTCGGAATGAGTCATCCGACGTGATAGGTATGCGTTCAATCTTGTCAGAGGGCCAACAATGGTACGGTCCTTAATCGGTACAGACAGAATCACATGAGTCAACCTACACATAGACTCCGTCTGGCCTCTATTTACATTACCTCATGGTTATTTTCCACGATAGCAAATATAGCCAACCGTGCTTCGATATGCACCTATATCTCTCAGGTGTTAGGAAATCACCCGACTTCTACCGGTCTAAGCATGGCTAAGCATATATTCGATCCTGGATCTACACATGGTTAAAGGTATATGTAACTAGACAAAGTAGTTCTATCCATCAAGTGTTTTCAATCAACTCTTATAACCTAATGCATCAAACATAAAACAACTCAAGTAATATTTTGTAAAACATGGGAGACTTAGAATGCTTTGGGGCTTGCCTTTGAGGAAAGAGGTTGGCCGATGATCCGAGCACTCAGGGAGATCTTCGAGAGTCTACTCCACTTCTCCTAGAGCTGTGGCCTGAGGCATCTCCTGCTATCCTCCTCCTCTTCTTCATTGAACTCCAACAGAGTTATTTCTTCGGACGATCATATATGCATGAACATGAATTAAGATATTATGAATGCATATATGATGATATATATAATATGATATGATATAATGAATGTATTCTCATAAGTGTTTTCAACAGCATGGTATTAAAGTAATAACAAGTGCATCTTATTTTACTGAGTAGGTGCCTATCTCTTCTCTAATAACTAAACAAACATTTATGTAAATCATTTTCTGGACCGCAATATAGCAGCCATTTATTTTGACCATAACTAGAGTTATATACATCAAAATAATATGGTTATGGACATTCTAAAAAGCTTATAGAATTGCCTACAACTTTCTTTTAATTATCTTAATGTGATTCAGCAGTTATGTAGGTCAAACAATTCAATCATTCAAACCTGTCCAAAGAGCAAGCATTTCTGAAAACAGACTTCTAACAACCATAATTCTTAAACCATAAGGCCCATGACTATAAAATTTTAACACAAGATAGATAAGTAAGTTATCTACAATTTTATTATTAATAAGTTTTACAGAAAAGGCCATTGTCATCATGAAATTATCAACTCAACTGAAATAATACATGCAGCCATCTAATTGAATTATAAAGCAATAATTAATTAGTTGCATACAACTAATTGCTTTTAAGCCTTACTAATAACATCAATAGATCATATGTATCACAAGCACCATAGAAAACATCATGGTTAAACATAACCAACTTATTTATATCTATTTATTATTTTCCTTAAATAATAGGGTGATTTAAAGGATAAATAATTACAGTGCTTAATAAATTATGATAAAATTATAGTAGCCTACAAATGCTCTCAATAGTCTACTATATAAATTTCATGCTATTTGGATAAGTACAACTACCTCTACAAAAATGACAAGTTATATATGCTTATTTTAGCAAAAATAGTTTAGCCTAGTGAAAAGTGTCAAACAACAGATTTAATATTTTTCTTACATTTCTCCAAGCATAAGAATACTGTGTAAAAATTTGCATGATCATATGTTATGTATTTTTACCCCCAATTAATTTCACTAGAAACTAGCAATTGATTTGGATTAAATATGAAGACCATATTCAAAGTATGCTTACTATAGGTTTAATATTGTTTCTAGCTAGATCATGTCAACACAAGACCAGCAAAATTAGAATCACAATTTTATCATTTTTCTAGCTAAAGTTATGCATTTAACAAGATAGAAACCATTTAAAAAAGCATTTATCTACCTACATTTTATTCTCTCAGAAAAATACCAGAAACAGTGCATCTCATATTTTTATCAAATACTATACTTCAAGATGAAATTAACAAAATTTGGTTCACCAAAATTGGACACCCCTAGCTTGAGATATGGATTTTTAAAACATGCATTCGAAACTGTGAAATAAATCAGAAAATTAGATATTATACACACTGACAACGGGGGCCCACGGTCAACGGGGACCCACGCGTCAGTGACACAAAAACAGAGCGTGGTGCTGACCGGCGAGAACTCGCTGACGACGAGGTCTCCGGCGGTAGCATCTTCATCCATTGGACTCTACACGTCAAGCCGCGTCAGTAGGTAGACTTAGTTGGCCCAATGGCTCACCGGAGCAAGCTCGACGGCGGCCATGGCGGACGGCGGAGGTCGGCGGTGGTACGCCGACCATCTCTGGCTATGGTACACTCAGGCGAGGATGGCTACTCCATCCTAGTGACCTAGCGAAGCTACACTACGCAGGTGAGGGCTCGGGGTGGCGTCGGTGAGCTCGATCATGTGCATAGCCGTGCGGCGGCACATGGAGCATGGCGGTGCTCACGCTGTTCCGGCTAAACAGCGGCGAAAGATGGGTCTCCATCATGCCATTAACTAAACCTAGGGTTACTCGACCTAAGGCGCACGATAAAGAAGGGAGGCAGTGAACCAACTCGACGGCGCCGAGCTCGAGTGCCGCGGCGGCCATGGCGGGCGCGC